ATGATCCAGGAGGCTTTGTGTGCCAGAGGGATTGCATACCTGTTTGAGAGAAGCACAAACCTAGTGGGAAAAGCATGTAAAACGGGCACCATGGCCTGGCGTTGCTCATTTTATAAGATATCACAGTCCCTGGCAAATTTGGGCTTTTAAAATCCTGTGTAAACATTATATATTTGGGGGAGATTTTGGTGAGGCCATCTCTGGAACATCTAAGGACAATCAAGATAGCATGGATCGGGCCGGCCCCATGGCTTAGCAGTTGAGTGCGCGCGCTCCGCTGCTGGCGGCCCGGGTTCGGATCCCGGGCACGCACCGAGGCACCGCTTCTCCGGCCATGCTGAGGCCGCGTCCCACATACAGCAACTAGAAGGATGTGCAGCTATGACATACAACTATCTACTGGGGCTTTGCGGGGGGAAAAAATAAATAAATAAAATCTTTAAAAAAAAAAAAAAAAAAGATAGCATGGATCAACCCTGGAGCCAATCTGGGCAAACCCCAGGCATGGAGTTTACTTCCTGGATTAAACCTAGGTGTGTGGAGCTGGCTGGACGTTGCATTTAGTTCTCTTCTTGGTCTTTCAGGAAGCCATTTAATGCAGTGGTTAGGTATCCAGGCTCTAGAGACAGACTACCTGGACTCAGAGTCTAGCTTTGCTACTTATTATCTTGGCTGTGACCTTGCTGAGTTTCATGACTTCTCCATGCTTCTGTTTTTTCTCTAATATAGAGAAATGAAAATGCCCATTTCATGTGGTTGTTATGGGGATTAAATGAGATAATGCATGTAAAGTCCTAGAACAGTGCCAGTGTTGTGTCGACAGTATAGCTGTGTACAGTGGTTACAGACTGACAGGACCAAGACGGGAGTATTCAAGACAAAAGCAGGTACAAAAGATAGATGATGGGAGAATGGGTTCATGGCGTCTTCAGATAGAGGGTGAATATAATACATGTAACAAGCCTGAGCAAAAGGAATACCTTTGAAGTCCATGAGCAAAATTGAGGTCAAAGCCAACAGGAAAGAAGGCACGGGCACATGAGAAAAAGTTTATCTTGCGCAGTAATCAAATAAACGTAAATTAGTATAACAATGAAATATTGTAGAGTGGCAATAATTATTTAGAATAACTAAAACCTGTTTTGACAGAAGGGTGGGAAAGCAAGTTTAGTCACACACTGCTAATAGAGGTATAAATTGATAAAGTTTTCCAGGAGGCCTAAAAGGCAAAATAAGTGAAAAGTCCTTAAATATGCATACCCTAAATTACTCCTTGATTCTACTCTTAGGTCTTTACCTTACTGGAAAGCTACTTAAATTTACAATAGGCAGAACCTAAATGAATTGTGACCTATCCATACACTCTGTTACTAATATTCAAGTTGAAAATTATTCAGTAGTTGATCACATAAATCCACGTGTCTTTACACTCTTTCAATGGCTGTTATATTAGTTGAGCTCTGTAGAAAGGAGTCTTCTTTATTCATGAAGAAAAGTCATTTCTGTAGAATAAGAGAGCTGGAACTCTGCATGAGTTCTTACACTGTGATGTAATGCCTCTCTTGAGTGTTGAGAGAGCGTTTTTGTAGCTTTATAATATTGCTGTTGGTGAGGTCGTTACTGCTGTATAATAACAATGCTGAAGTAATCCTGTTAGTTTCTTGATTTTTTAAATTGAGTATAGAATTTAAAGTTGTAACATTTAAGCTATTCTTTAAGAATTACATATGGTATTTATGCAGCTAGTGAAAAGACAAAAAATAATAATATGACATTTCACTTATCAAATTGACAAATATTTTTACAACTTTATTGAGATATAATTGAGTATAATAAACTGCACATAATGTGAACAGTTTGGTCAGTTTTACATATGAACTGTTTTTACTCATAACACTTCTGACACCAAATGTATGGGGATTTTTTCTCTGTACCAACCAATTCTCCAATTTTCCAGATACCAACTGGATGTCCTACAATTCAATTCAATTCTGACACTACCCAGAATTGGCACAGATTAAGGGCTTAGTCCCACAAGACTGCCACACTTCAGATGCCAGTCACACGTACCATGTTGCCAACTGTACTTCTGACCAACCGGCTATAAATTCAGGGGATTCCCGCAACCCCCTTCTCAACTTCATAATTTACTAGAATGGCTTACAGAACTCAGGAAGATACTTTACTTAACACTCACTGGTTTATTATAAGGGATATAAAATGAACACCCAGATGAAGAGGTTCATAGGATGAGATGCAAAGGGTCTGGGGCACAGAAGCTTCTGTCTCTGTGAAGTTGGGGCACAAGGGCACAACCCTCTCGGCATGTGGATATGTTCGAAACTCAGAAGCTCTGCAAACCCCACTATTTAGAAGTTTTTATGGAGGCTCCATTCCACAGGCATGAGTGATTAAATCATTGGCCTTTGGTGATCTCCAGCCCCTCTCGCCTCTCCACGGTTAGGGGTGGGCCTGAAAGTAGCTGTTTTCCTACTTTGGTATTGGATGTTATCATTGAAAAATCCTTGCCACTTACCTACAGTAACAGAGAACAGTGGCAAAGATTTTTTAATGATAATAATCCAATACCAAAATAGGAAAAAAGGCACTTTCATATATTAATATTGGAGTGGGAAATTGGTACAACTTTTTTTGGAGTTTACAGTTGCAAAAAGTTGGAAACAAATGAAATGTTCAACAATATGGAATTGTTTAGGGAAACAATTCATATAATGAAATATTATGCTTTTAAAATTAGTACTAGAAAAATGTTTTGTAAACAGCAACAAGTTCATATGGTATGCCTCTATTTTACCTTACTTTTTCAAGTTAACAAAAAAGTACATAGGAAAAAAAGACTAAAAGCATATCTTTAAAGTGAAATGTTAAAAGTAGTTTCATCTGGCTAGTGAGATTTGTCTGTATTTTTTCCAATGCATGTATTATCTTTAAAAAAATGTTATTGAAATTTCTTCCTGGGCATAAAGTAAATCCATAAAATAGGACTGATGTATTAGTTTAAGCTATATATATTATTTAAAAAAAAAGAAAAAAAAACTATGTTTTAAAGCCATCTGGAGCCTGGCCCCTGCCTACCTCCAGCTTCCCCTTTTGCAGTTCCCAGCTCCCTCTTTGTGCGCTGGTGGTAAGGAACCACTTGAGGTCTCCTGGAACACACCCTGCCAGTCCCTGCCTTTGCTCATGCCGTCCATTTGCCTTCAGTTCTCTTTCTCCTTGGCTTCATTCTCCTCATCCCTTGAAATCTGCTGTCAGTATCATCTCCAAGAAGCCTTTCCTGAGCTCCTAGTGCTTCTCCTTTCCCATTCTCAACGCTTTCTAGACCCATCTCTGCTGAGGCACCTACTGCATTATATTATCTCTTTTCATTTTCCCCTCTCAATAGACTGAGCATGACTTTTGAGGTCAGGACAGTATTGGTTAGCACAGTGCCTGAAACACAGCAGTAGGAGCTTACCTGTGTGTGTGTGTAACTGAAAAATAGAATAGAAATAAAGGTGTGATGGGCTCAAACAGCCTGGAATATTGAAAGAAGTGTTAGCATAGCTGCATGACTGGGGAATGGGGTCTTCACGAAGAGTTTAGTAGATGAGGAGGAACCATATCACTAAGGGCTTCCTATATCGTCCTAAGGAGTTTGGATTTTATAGTGTAAGTGATAGGGAGCCAGTAAAGACTTTTAAGTAAGAGAATGGCTAGCTTCTAGCATTTCCCAAAGTGTTAGATGTTATTAATATGATGTAAAAAGCTTGGATATAAAATAAATTTGGGAAAACCTGGGTTAAACCAAGTTGAATAGATTTCTATTCTTCTGGACTTTTCAGAGTCTTTACTATGCTAATTTATATTTTTAATGTTCCAAGAGGGGTGTGTGTGCTATAATTTGCATTATTTCCCAGATTTATTTATCATGGAACCCTATTATTTGGGGACTGTGTTATAGAACACATTTTTGGAAATGGTCACTGGGGAGACAAACAGCAGTGAGACCTTTTAGTGATTGTTCCGGTAGCCTAGAGGAGAACAGTGAGGGCTTGAATCAGAAAGTTAATGGCAGGAGAGGGAGGGGCAAGAGCAAGGGAATTAAGTTGTGTCTCTCAGAGCACATTCTCCAAAAGTGGTGATTTATCAATAATTGTAAAAGATAACATCATGATTTGAGAGTTGTTAATATCTGATCCAAAGACGTTAGAACAAGCAGTGTGAAAGGTGGTTTGAAACATATCTGAGACAAATGGTAGTCAAAGGAAGGTGCTTCTTTTCATGTTTACAACCCACCAGCTGATAGCACAGCTTGGGCTTGCTGGACTTGGTAACTGCTTGTTTGTGGGTTAGTCAAAGATGGTTGCCAGGAGTCGAGGTTGGGCGACGGAGCAGATAGATGGTGGTATCATAATGAGATAAGCGAGATAGGAGACAGGGCTGGTTCGGGAAAGAAGATGCTCTGTCACTTCTTGACATGTTTATGAGTTAGAGTTGTCTGCGGGACACCCTTGTGGAGAGGAGAGCACCAGGAGGCCACTGGACATATGAGTTTATACCTCAGATGATGTGGACTGATCCACCCTTCATTTTACCTCCTTTGTCTCAATTGCTGCGTATGTTAGGGTTTCATGTCTCTTTTATGAGATCATGAAGTATTGAATTGCAGGGTGAAGACACCGCGCATTCCTAATCTTATCCCGCGTTGCACTTCCACACACCGGTTGCCCTTGTTCCTCCACGGCTTCCTTGCCATATACAAGGTACACTGAAATCAATTTTGTGTGTTTTTTAAACTTCTGATTTTAGGAATATTGAACATTATTCACCTCTAAATGGAGGCTGCAATTGCCTCTGCAAGTATGAGGAAGATGCTTGATGGACAGTGTTTCTCATTGCTCTGTTGCAACACCAAGTGAAATCGAGTTAATAATGCTATAATGTGTTTCTATTCCAATTATTTTAAGTATAATAACAATGTTCCTTCATTTTATTTATAGCTCCAAAAGGAATTCTTCATTTGTCTCCTGATGTTTATCAAGAAATGGAAGCCAGCCGCCACAAAGTAATCTCTGGCACTACCCTAGGCTATTTGTCACCCAAAGATATGAACCAACCCTCAAGCTCTTTCTTCAGTATATCTCCCACTTCGAATAGTTCAGCTACAATTGCCAGGGAACTCCTTATGAATGGAACGCCTCCTACAGCTGAAGCCATAGGTTTAAAAGGAAGTTCTCCTACTCCCCCTTGTTCTCCAGTACAACCTTCAAAACAACTGGAATATTTAGCAAGGATTCAAGGCTTTCAGGTATGAATTAAAAGCAAAAACAAAAACAAGAAAACAAAACAATTCATTAGCCCCAAATCCTTCATCTCTATCCATCAGAAAGCTCATTCTTGCCTGCTAGTGTGACCTGTATGCCACTCACATCATAAATTATTAGGAACACAGAGGACAGAAAAAAGAGAGCCGTATGCACATGCCTCATTTTCTTTGATTTTCATTCTATCCAGTAATTCTTTTGCTGCCTGGCTCTCCTCCATTTTCCTTCTTCTTCCCCTTCTTTTTTTTTTCCAACATTTTTCATTCTGTTCTGTTTTCGATTGGTCTTGATTGGGTGCATCCATCGCCTCACTCTGTCTTCCATAAACAGAAAGTCTGCCTTCATACATTTGGTATTAGTATTTAGCACAAAGTTCTCCCTCATTTTATAGTAAGGCTGAGTTTTCAATGACGATTTTACTTTCATAGCAGTTTTGAATTTGGCATTCTATTGCTAGTAATGATTTAGGTATACCATTCAGGGACAACATCCTAGAAGTCAATTATCTTAGGAGTTAATTAAACAAGGTATTAGAACAATAATGAAATGCTTTCTAGTTGTTTGAGACATAAAAACATATCTGTTTTACTGGCTCGTGTTTTGAACCGTCGAGGGTAGCACCTGCCTCAGATGGTATCAATAATTCCATTTCCCTGTGCAGTCTAAAACTAGCGTATAGCCCACTTAACTTGTGTATATGAATTTGGGGATGGAAACTTTTTTTTTCCTATTTATTCTTTGTTCCCTTTTGAAAAAAACGAAACAAAACAAAATCCAACAGTCCTTTATGGAGAGAACTTTTAAAAGAATTGTTAACTCTAGGAAGAGGAAATACCTGTGTTTTGATTTCTTAGTTGCCTTGAAAATCCTGTACTGAACTGTAACCGCTCACTTGACTGGATGGACAGCAGCGTGCTTGTGCGTAGACAGAGTGTATCGCTCCTTCCGATTCCACTGTTTTCATCCCCGTGTCCATCTTAGTCTTATTCCTTAAGACCAAAAACTGTAATTTCCTTTAGAAATGCTCTAGAAGATCTGTATTGTGTAGAATGATCATGTATTCCTAAAAATTTTACAAGTTTAGATATAAACTAAGAAAGATCATGTGTTTGGGGAGGTATTTTGCATGTTTTTTGTTTTCCTTCACAGAAACCTGATTCTTTCAAATATATTGCCAGGTAGTCATTAGTGTTTTTAATTAGACTATTAATATGAAATTAAAGAAGCTGTTACCAATTATTGGCTCTGTCATCTGAAATTTTAAATGCTTAATTTAAAATTAAAATTTTAGAATTTGTTTTTGTTGTTTACCTTAAGAATGACAATAAATCACTGTTTAAAATAAAAAGACCTTGATTCATACAGTTAAAGTACTGGAAAAAAAAGCTAAATAATTTTTAGTTCTATCTATAATCTGCATAGGATGAACTAGAAATAAACTTTGATGAAAAGAAATTCACTGCTTATTTACAAATCTAGTCATTTAGAAATGTCTGAAAGCAACACTGCATTTTTATAGAAACAAAGCACAAATTGCATTCAAGCTCTGAATTGATTTTTTGCTTGGAGGTGTTATGGTAGATGTAATTTTGCTGCCAGAAGAACTACTTAAATTTTTTGATTTGTATTTATTTGTTAATTTTTTGGCAATGAAAACAATTATAATTTTAAATTACTTTAGTCAAAATGTAGAGTCTGTTACCCCTATTATTGGGCTGACTGCTCAGACCTTTTTTTAAAGCTTATGCTGAGATAATATACTCTTATTTATGGACAAGTTAAACATTTCCAAATTTGTGTACTGTGATTTTTACATACTAATGAATATAAACAGATGGTTTTAAAACATCACTGTGCTTCTTTGGTTGAATGAGCTGGGTGTTATTAATGTGAAATATTGTGTCACTGATGGATCGTAACCTGCAGCTGAGCAGTGAACAGAATCTCTGGGAAATGGCTTGGTGTGCTGTCAGGCGCAGAGCACATCTTTATAATGTCGCAGTAGGAGGTTCTTTGTGGTTAAGTTTTAAAACCCATTTCTTCATAGGTAACTCTCTCAGGTATATTTACCTGGTAGAAAAACATGTACATTGTTTTTATTTCTTAAATCTTTCAATTGGACTATAGTTTAGAAATTATAGGGCCAGCTTGTTATGGATTACCTGCTATTCTGTTATTTTTATTTCTGGAATTTAAAAACAATAAATTCTTTTTCTGTGTTTCTAGGTTAGTACTTTTTTTATTTTGTTATTGTACACTGACTAGATATCATTACTTAATGAATATTGTATAAACCCTTCTCTGGCCTTTCTTGCCCCTTGAAATTTGATTTAAGCTGGTCAGAGCCATTATATGTGACAGCTCTATTGTATTACAAAGAAAAAATATATTAGTATACTGAAAACTAAGTTGTTTTAACTTTTAAATTTTTTTCATTACCCAATCTTTAATTGAAATTTATAAGTTACAAAAAGCTTATTTGCTCCCCAGAATGTTGGTATTAAGCTCACATCCTTTTGCTTCAATCTACAAAATAATTAAAATTATTATACAATTGAAGTTATTATTAATAAAGCTGACTTCACAGAGCAGAATGTGACTGAACGCTTACACATTCTCAGCAATTCTTTTATCCTTGCTTGAACTCACCTAAACTTTTTATCACATTTTAGATGCAAGCTTTTGGATCTCTATCATAAATGAATATTTGTTTCTTTGAAATTTTTATTGAGTGTATTTTAATTACCCTCTTTTAAAACCTGAATGTTCTTATTGATTTATTATTTTTTGGAAAAAATGTTTTATGTGAATAGTTCTATGAACCTCAAACTTTATCCAGCCCAGTCAGAATGCTTCTATAACTTTATGCATTTCATAAAAACTCATTTGAAATTAGTCATACCATAGTGTGTCAGAGTTCCTTGTTGCTTGCTTGATACTCTTTAATTATAATGCCAAAATGTTTGAAAATCATTCAGCTTTTTAAAGAAAATTATTATAGAAAAGACCTTCTTGAAATGCTGTGCATCTGAGCTAAGGTAGAAGACTTTGTTTTGTTGTGCTGTAATTTACATTATTCTTAGTTTTTACATCTTTAATATGCTTTTCCATACTAACTATATTAGAAATCTCTTTGTATAATTAAATATAAGCGGTCCCTTTGTTTAAATGAGTCAGAAAAATGGTTAGATTGGAAATGAAAACGAATTATTTTAGTAAATTATCTTTTCTAGATGGGTTTAATTTGGATTTGCTAGTCTGTGCCCCTCCTTGTGATCATCATCCATTGAACAGTGTTGTTTTTGAAACCTTCAGAGTAAAATATGATAAACTAGATTTGTTTTTCTCACATAAAGAATGTAAAGAAGCACTTAGTTGGTTTCTTAGTTAGACCATAATTACTTTTTTTTACAAAATCAAGGAGTGTTTTATAGAGTTGGTGCCATTTCCAGCCAAGATGAGAATGTCAGAATGCTTTGAAATAGCTATTTAAATTAAAAACTTTCTTTTCAAATACAATTCAAACTTAATACATTTCAACTAATATGTCTCCTTTTGTGAAGTTTGATACAATTATAGCAGGCTTCTTTTATAGTTACAGGCTTCTTGTAAATATTTATTTTTGACATATATATGCATTACATATTTTAGCAATATAACCTAAGTACACAGATTACATTGAGATGGGGCATGGAGGGGGCCTGGCCGATCTGAGGATCAACCTTTTTCCTGTCTCTTTTTTTCTTCTCTTCCCTATACCTCACTTTTTTTAATCCATATATTAATCATCAAAGTAGCTATTTGCAGCTTTTTTCTTTTTTTTTAAAGAATGAGTGATCCATTTTTTCCAAGACCAATACAGTCATGTGCCTCATAAAGACATTTCTGTCAACAATAGACCGCATATATGACGGTGATCCCATAAGATTAGTACCCTGTAGCCTAGGTGTGTGGTAGGCTATGCCATCTAGGTTTATATAAGCACACTCTATGTTTGCACAACAAGAAAGTCTCCTAACGACACATTTCTCAGAACGTGTCCCTGTTGTTAAGCGACACGTGACTATATAAGTAAAACTTTGTAGATTTCTAATAGGAGGATATGGAGAAAGAAATCATGCATATACGTATACTCCCCTACTTAGAAATATGTTTTTCCCCCATTTTTCATTTGTCCTTGAAACATACTTACCATGTTACTTCTCAGCCCAAATTTTTATCTACACTGTTACACGTATAGAGCAATGAGAAATTACTCAGAGTACAATGGGCAAAACACATTTGTGAGTTTGGCATGGGGTGAATAGATTCTGCACTGATATGCAGTCCTTAAAAATCCTTCCTGGATTTGGCCTCTACTACTTTCCAAAGACCTTGGAGAGATTGGGTTAGTGTTTGAACTCTCCTGAAGGCTTGGTCTTCCTATAGTGACCCTAAAACTCAGGTTTGTTCTTCAAATGGGCCGCCCAAGTTCATGGAAACTGACTTATTGTCTGTGTTATCTTTAGACCTTGATATAGTTGGCCAAACTCCCGAGGGTATGCAAACTACATATCACGTAACTGTACTTCCGTGAAAACCAGTGAAATTACAGATCAACTCATTTTCTGAAATTTCCAACTCTGTAGATAAAAATATTACATTTGAAGAAAGAAATCCTGATGCATATAAAAACATACTGTGATGAGTAATACAGGTAAGAGTCAAGCAGGCCTTGAGTGAAACAGTCCATTATTACTGCATAAACTCTTCAGGAATAACTCCACCGTAAATCACTGCAGAATGTAACTATGAAACTCAAAGGGACAGAGACACTCATCTTGAGCCTTGATGCACCAAGTACATAGGTAGTAAGACACAAAAGATATTTCAAAGAAAAAGTAATATACAAACACAGAAAAAGCTGTTCCTAACACTGTGACTTTGATGTGGATCTGAAATGAGCCACTGTGGTGCAGAAAAAAATGGCTGTCAGTATGTGTTC